TAGAAAGGATTGCTTTTTAACAGTCAGTGACTAAAATGTGGTCAGTGTTGGATTTGTGTGAGGAATCACCAGAGCACAGTCAAATGCCTGCATTTGTCATCAGCAGTGGTCTGATTCACAGCCTCCACAAAATAGAACAGAGACACTGAAATCAGTATTCTCAGCTGCACAGTATTCTCAGCTCCACAAAATAGAACAGAGACATTGAAATCAGTATTCTCAGCTGCACAAATGGAAAGGTCTGACTTGGACAAGGAACTCAATCCATGAGAGACAGAGAATAACAAAGAAGGAATTTCAAGCTGGGAAAGTAGAATATATTTAGCCAATTGATATGTATGTACCATTCTGCTACCATGGAAAATTGATAGGACTGCTTTTCCATTCAGTAAGAAGTCAGAATGTTAAAATACTTAATACGTATATTTGAAAATATATGAAAAAATCATTTTCTGCCTAGCTATATGACGTCTTAAACATTGATGTCATTTCATCAATTCCTTGCCAAAACTTCTTTCATCTTGATAATGACCTCACAGAAACAAAATCCTTTTGAGATTAAACTCTGTTTCCTCTACTCATTTCAGAGATGTAGTAAGTAAGCAACTGTAACCGTGTTAATTACAGGGTGGGTATTAAGAAATAATGGTGCAGAAAACCCTTTTCAGTGTCAAGTTCAGAATGGGAGAAAAGGTGGGTGCATTTATGTGAACATTAAGATAAATGAAACAGAAAGCCACAGCTGTTAATTATGCTGAGGAAACAAATTACAGATCATCACACTTAAAAAAAAAATCCTTCCAATACAAGGGTAATTGAAAAAAATAAAATATTGTCCATGTTTGTCCTGAAGTTATAATATCAAGACCATGTAAGATTTTTTAAAGGAATAAAATTGGAAATTGCATGATTTAGGTTGTGTTATATTTTTGCTCACAATGCCCATGGCTCTAAAGGTTAGTAATTACTAACTGAAAGGAGGATATCAGTATCTCTGTTTCCTGTGTTTTCAGATATTCCGCTCATCATTGCTTCTTTCAGGGATGACCTTTAAATTTGATTCAGCATGTCCACCCACAGCAGGTACAAGAGACAGCCACATGAAGCAGGTTGTTTTCAGACCGTTGCCATACTTTTCAAAGTTGCCATTGAGAACAAAGGTTCTCAGTTTAAATGTCTCAGCATTTTCCTAAAATACTAGAGAGGAAAATGTCCACTGACTATTGTTCTCTCTTTTAAACAATACGTCTCTCACAAATGCAAAGAAAAAATTTGCAGAATTTTCTCTTGAGCACGTTCACAGGTTGTACATATCACAGTAAGCAGATTCTTAAGTCTGTCGATTTTACTTCATTGCATTGATAGCAATGCTTCACTGTCATCTAAGTGTTAACTGTACTTCGTGATCCAATTTTACTCAACTGTATGAATACCTAAAGTACTTCAGGAACTCATTGAATGCTATTAAACCTGATTGAATATTCACGTGACAAAATAAGGATAGACTTAAGGCATTGTGAATGATCAGTGAACTATAATACAGTCTGCATTTTTGTTGATTTTTACTTTGCATATAAATTTGTATAAGACGTTCCCCAAATGATGTTGTAGAGGGGTAGATGCAGTAGTAATATTTTGTATTTTTTTTTATTCTTCAGAATTTTAGCATAAATTTTCATGTGATTTAAATTATCAAATTAAAAGAACTAGAAATATGTAATGCTAATTTAATTTCACCTAACTTTCTAGAAAGGAGGCCTGTAAAATGTAAGAAATGCTAGAAGATATACTAAGGTAAACCCATGTCTTGTCTAAAATACCACAAGACAGTCTATTATGAGAGGTATTACCTTGTGAGTTATTGTTCTGTCTTGAAGGAATGGCAGTGATAGAAGACAGCCCTGTTATTTTTTATTTTAAAAAATATTTTATTATTTTTATTTGCTTTTATTTAATATTTGTGTATTTCATATAGAATATCTCATACAATCTTAATCATCTTTATACTACCACCCCACTGGTGCCCTCCCATAGCCCCTCTCACTGAGCCCATAAATTGTCATCGTTGTTAAAGTTGACTGTGTCAAGTCAGTGTCCACAGACTTTCCCCAGTGCAAGTCCATCCCCTGAGGTCTAGTCAGTCTATCTCTTGTTTTAGGAAGATCAGTTCTTCCTCACCTAGCAGCAATCAGTTGCCAATATTTCTTCAGCTATGATTGGGGTATGCTGTTCATTTTCCCAGTTCTATACTGGGTTTTTGTCTGCCTGAGTTTGCATGGGACTTGTGTATGCTGACACAGAATCAACTGAGCAGGTTCCCAGGAGCTTGTAGATCTCTGTTTCCATATGGTCATGCACCTCCTCCTTGGCTCTTACAATCTCTCTGCTCCCTCTTCTGTGATGGTCTCTGAGCCGTGGGTGGGTGAAGTTTAATATAGGAGTCCTGTTCAAGGACCAGCATTCTGAAGATTTTTTAACTCTAAGTTTTGGCCATTTGTGACCTTTTGCATTCCTGACCCTCTGTTGCACGAGGGAGCTTCATTAATGAGAACTGAGAGATTCATTAGTGCCCTCTCTTTACATCTGTTTTATGTTCCGTGGGATTTAGGTGTAGAGGTTGCATTGTAGATATGTCACTTAGGTCTGGGCAATTCATAGACAATATCTGTGTGAAACCAGTTATGGGACTTGGTACTTAGGGATTGGGGGTATAAAGATTTAGGTAGTTTGAGATATTCTGTATAAAATACACAAAAATTCAATAAAAACAAATTAAAAAAGAAAGTTCATAAATAATTTTAAAATTATGTTTATTTTCATTTGTGTGTGTGTGTGTGTGTGTCTGTGTCTGTGTGTGTGGTGCCCTTGGAGGCTAGAGGTGGGGCACATGGTTCTGAAGCTGGAGTGACAGGCAGTTGCAAGCCATGTGACATGGGTTATGGAAACTGAACTTGGGTTTTCTGTAAGAGCAATATGTGCTCTTAACTGCCAAGCCACTGATACTGTTGCAAAGGCCAAATTCAGCATCAAATTTAACTGTACATTTTTTAACTTTTAAAAAAAACTTTATTAAGAATTTCATACATGCATATAAGGTGTTTTGATCAAATCCACACCCACTGCCTCCCCTTGAACACCTCCCATATCTCCCCATCACTTTTTTTCTGACGTTTGTGTACTTTCTTTCTTTCTTTCTTTCTTTCTTTCTTTTTTCTTTCTTTCCTTCTTCCTTTCTTTCTTTCTTTCTTTCTTTTGTTCTTCCTTCCTTCCTTTCTTTTATTTTTTCTTTTCTTAATGGGGCTTTTTGCTACTCTAACATTCCCCCCTCTGAAGAGGTAACCCTAAAATCTTTTAGAGATTAGGTAAGAGATCCCAAATACTTTTGACATTTTTGGCCTTTGGAAAAAAGTATGTTGCTAAGAGATCCAAGGACATTTTGACTTTTAGCCAAGAAACTGACTACTTATCTTTGGGGTCTTTTTACCCTAACTTCCTAGCCAATTCCTACCTCCTATTCTTATCACACCATCC